CAAATCAAAGCTGTCGACAGAAATATTACTATTTTTAAAAAAACTCTGTTATCTGCTTAAATGCAATCCTATCATCAATCCTATCATTTTAACCACGAGCAGAAGAAAGTCACAATCATCCTAGGTCCCCTAAACATCTTAACTCAGTTGTGAAAACAGCTGGATATAGATAGAATAAAATACAAACAAGATGGAGAAATGAAGGGTTATATCATAGCAGCAGCCATAGGTTGGATGCCCTGAAAAGCTGAGAAGTGAGCTAGATGCAGCCAGGTTTATCAGTGATAATAATAACTAATAATAGCAAGGCCACTCAAATACATCTTCAATATTCAGAGCCTTTTTTTTAAACATGATGGAACGTCTCAGCAGATGGCAATGCCATAAGACTTTCTCTTGGTTTGGAACGTAAGCAGAATTGGGTTGGGTGTAGCTAGATGGAAGAACCCTGGGCATACCTACCCAGGTATGCAAGAGAGACTGGGAAAAGAAAAACAAGGAAAGCACTTCTGTTCTCTTGCCAAGACAATTACAGGGTCCTCTTGTCACCTTATAATAGAATCCTAGATAAAGGGCAGATCAATAGACAATAGATTTTTATGGCTGCAAATATGAAAACATCTGCCAGGGTGGAGTCATATCACTAATTCTACTTTTATCTTTTTAGTTTTGTTTTATTTTGATATGCTAATTTGTGATTACAATAATTCAATCTGAATTGAGATTGGGTACCAGGTTTGCCCTAAGAGTAGGTTTCTAACCTTCCCTTAGGAGCTGGCAGGCTATAATATCAACAAAATTCGGGGTTAGATGGTAGACCATAGCAATCTTAATATTGTTTAGCAAAAACAAGGGATCTCCACTGAATGCAACCTTCAATAGAAAAGTCCGTAGAGATTCTCAGTCATCCAGGTCATGGTTGTCCAAAGGTGCTTTTTCAGGAGGCAATTGGACTTTCTTGTTTTTTCTTTGAAGACGTTTGCTTCTCATCCAAGAAGCTTCTTCAGTTCTGACTGGATAGTGGGGAATGGAAGGATTTATATTCCTTGTAGACAGTTGGTCATTTTCATCCTTTTAGAGAAGCAAAACATCTTCAAAGAAAAAACAAGAAAGTCCAGTTGCCTCCTGAAAAAGCACCTTTGGAACAATCATGACCTGGATGACTAAGAATCTCTACAGACTTTTAGCTATGCAAGTTGGGATGAACACACTTCGAATGGTGTGGGAGTATGAGCAGATTTCCAGAAAAACTGCAGACTACAGGAACCATTAAGCACTACTCCAGGTGACCCTGAGGACAGATAAACCTCCAAGTGCTTCAATGATCTTCAAAAAGGATGCAAATGACCAGCTGTCTGCAAGGAATATAAATCCCTTCCATTCCCCACCATCCAGTCAGAGCTGAAGAAGCTTCTTGGATGAGAAGCGAAGCGTCTTCAAAGAAAAAACAAGAAAGTCCAGTTGTCTCCTGAAAAAGCACCTTTGGGACCTCAATAGAAAACCAAGACTTCTCTCCTGTTTGGATAGTAAGATCTCGGAGATGTTGCTCTGAAGAAACATAAAGCAGATATGAGTTATACCCATCTCCAGGTTCTAGATATGCTTGGCCTCATCCCCCGTTTCTAAACATATTTTTCATATTAATTAAGAAACCAGCATGCAGACTGCTAAACAATATTTCTAATATCTGGATATCAATAGCAACCCTAGCCTTCCAAACAACTAAATTGCCAATGTTGTTCCAATCTTTCTAGGTTCTAGGAAAGTCACTGTTACAAGAAGAATAAAATGTGTTATATTTTAGTTTCAACTACTAATATAATAAGACTTACATCATGCCAATCTTCTGAGATTCAGTGAAACACTAAAATTAAGGAATAATAAGTAACTCTGAGAATCTTGTAGCTAAATAAAAATGCATACAAAGTGGGCAGGGAAAGGAAAAAAGTAAAATCATAAATAAATGATTTGTATCACCAAAATCATATAGTTCTATGGTACTGCTTTGGATTTTGTCCTTGTTTAACTCTTCCACTTGACCTACTTACATTGCATTGATATGTATTTGGGATTTTTTTTCCTCCTATGGAAACAGTAATCTATGATAAGAGAGCAACAAATGTTTTGTACAATCAAGTTATCGCCTCTTATATCATACAGGCAGACATTCTTGGACCAGCTGTTCAAAGTCCTGAACAGAAACTGCAGATTTTTTTTTTTTTTTGCCTTTAAAAATATACAGAAACTCATCTTGTGCAGAATACCAAACAAGTGATTTTCCATTGCTTTCTTTTCTTGATTTTCCGGTCTAACTACAGTACTGTTGGTTCCCCTTCCAAGTACTAGCCAAGGCTGAGCTGCTTAGATTTCTAGATCAATCCGTATCAGTTAGATGTTGTCTCCTAGTTCAGCATTTTGCCTATTTGCCAAACTTAGTTTGGCACAAGGGTCCTAATATACCTCTCCTTTCTAGCTTAGTCAGCCACACCTTGAAATTTAGGGAATGTTCTGGAATGGCCTGCAATGCCATAAGTGTATTTAATATCTCCTTGAGCGCTTTGAAATGCTTTAGATCTTTAGTTAAGAACACAAGACAGACCAAGAAATATTCTGTTGTGGTTCCCTTTTGGTTTATTTCCTCTGCTAAAGCAAAACAGAGCAAATGTCACAGACAATGTTTTGTATAAGAAGGCAAGTCCTGGTAACTTCCCCCCACCCCCATCCCAAAAAATCCTGAAATATATAAAGATGTAGGCCTTATAATTTTCATGAATACAATCAAACTTGCTAAGACAAAGAAACATACGTGCCAATCTTCTACCTTTGATTAATGTATTTAGTGAAAAGGAAGCAAAACTATTTCATTTCAGAAAAAGACATAAAACCTGCCTAAATTGGGCCTGCAGGCCAGATTCTCCCCACGCTGTCATTAAATTATTGTGCCTTGCTCAGAATCTGCTACTGGGAAAAGGCAAAAGGCCAGTCCTTAGACATTAATCTGCATTTTCTGCTTAAAAGAATGGCCTACATGGCTGTAAAAAAAACCAAAACCCTCCCCTAAATTTCTTCTCTACAATGTTTGTACAATTTAAATAGAAACAGCCAAAGAAACATAAACAGTATCTATTCAGTTTTCTACTGTGATAGGAAAGAATTCCCAGCATAATGTTTGAATGAAAGGGGGAGAAAAAAACCTTTGCAGCAAGAAAGATCAAATGAAGGCAACATGCAAATAACCCGAAGCATGTATGGTGCAATATTACTTCCAAACCTAAGCTGTCTGAAGGACATTGTCACAAGACAAAGCACTGTTACTCACAATTTTGCAAAAGCCTTCCAAATATATATATATAGGTGAGCATCTGCCCCCACCCCATGGATTGGAGCTGACCCTTAGAAAAAGCCTCAGTGCAGAGCAGCCATCTATTTCCCCCCATCATGTAACAGGGACTGGTGGTTTGTACGACAGACATCCACAGTTAAATACAGAGCTATTGTATATTGGTATTATTAAACACTAACACAAAGATGGTATCACAGCACCCTGGGCTCCTTCATGCAAGCTATTCAATGCCCTGTCAGAATGGAGAAGCACAGTACATTAAAACACCAGACCAAATATTTTCAGGCTTAACAGATCACATGCAATTTTTCAATACACTACAATTTATTCCTTAAATACCTTATGTCATCTGCTGCACAATCAGGAAATAAAGAGGTTCCTTAATGCTTGTGTCACCCTCTAAAGTAGCGAGTCCTGCCTGTCATCAGCCTCCATGGAACTTGCCCAATCAAAAGACTCCCAGGGCTTTTAAGATTGTCTACTTTATTCCGCTTGAATACAAACAGACACCCTAAATATTAAAACTCCATCAGAACACATTTTTCTTTCCTTCAACTCTTTATCCTCTATCCTTAGTTATTATTTTCCAGGACTGTACATTCATAATGCCAATTGTCAGCCACGACAGGGTGGATTGCTGTAACTTCACAATGCACATAAAATTCCAGGGTTACTGATGATTTCCTGTTTTAGGAAGTCACTGTTTCTAGCAAAATAGCCACCAACGCAAACAAAAATAAAAGTCCTCCAGTACCTTCTTTAAGAGCCTTTGTTCTTCCCTTTGCCATTTCATTACTGCTTCATCTTACTTCCCCACTCCCTTTCCCTGGAGCTTCCAGCTTCAGCATAAGATGCAAAATGTCTGCTCTTTATCTAGGTATACATTTCTTTTTTTTTTAAGAGAAGGAAAGCGAATTATTATCCAAAATCTAAGGCTGTGAAGCTTTGAGTCAGGAGGAGACATTGCTTACCAGCTGATGCACTGTCCATCCGGTTCCTATTTGAATGTCATTAATGTGAGAGTATTGCAATTTAGTCTACTAGTAATCCACTGGAGTTCTGCAAACCTTTTGAAACAGATCCCCTCCTCTGGATTGCTAAAATGTTTGGCGCAAGATTATCTAATTACCAAGATTCACAGAATGACAGGAAGACGTACAGATGCTAATTTGTATAAAATGTACAGTCTATCTTAAAACTGTCTTTGACTTCCAGATCAAAGTGAGGTTATCTCATTTGAGCCAACAAAAAAAAAAAAGGAGACAGAAGGGATAAGAAGTCATCGTGTTGATATGATGGAGGAAAAAGATGTTAAAAGTTTAATAATCAAGAAATTCAAAACAGCTCCCTGCCATATGGACCCCAATTTATGACTATCATATGGGGCCCTCTTCTTTTCTGATTTAACAGTAGCAAGAAATGTCTTCCTGTAAGGTGTACCAAACAAAGACTGATTATGTTTAAGTCTTTATAAAACAATAGGTAGTTCTAATCCTAGGTCAGCTGAAATCAGTTAAATAGCATTTCCTCTCTTAACTCAGACTACGAGTTATTCTCTAGTGTGTCTCGGTATGCAATCACACATTGTGTTCAGGCTTTGTTACCATGTTATGCCCATGCTCAGATTGTTACACCCTTAACAAGCACCGCAGCTCACCTTGTGTACTTTGCCTTGTGACAATTTTTTAAATGCCAATGATGCCGATGAAGGTTGCACAAGCACAGCAAACCTGAAAGAGTTAAAAGGCAGCCCTAATCAATAGGCCTGAAAGGAAAACAAGAGCATGCCTCCTAAAGCTTATTTTGCAAAGGCTTTCATGCGCAATTTTACAACAACGCTGTTTTTTTGGCCTTTTACACAGATAGATATACGCAGACACAGATTTCAGGTTTTTTTCCTCAGAAAAGAAATCCACAATACAACCACAGTTAAAAAGAGAAAGAGAGAGATAGAGAGAGCAAAGTAGCAATCCTGAGCCACATGCATAAAAGGGAAATGCAAGCCAACCCATTTTATTTTGCTGTTTAAAAACAAAACAAGCTATATCAGTGTCCCACTTAGCAAACAATTTTCTTTCTTTCTTCTTAATAAGGGTGATAAACTTCAGCTATGGTCCATTCTTTTATAGCATTACCATTATTATCATTATTTTCTAAAGGCATGAACCAGCCAAAGTTATCAGCCATTGCAAATAGGCACATAACATACACAGAAACCTTTATGACTGTTATATTAGCCACATACCAGAGCTGTGTGTCTAAAATGTGCATTCACATATTGTTAGGGGATGGTATCTGTTCTGCAAGATCCTCTGCTTTTGGTGCCATGAAGGGAGGGCGGGAGGAAGCCATCTCAATAACTGCATTGTGTTCAGGAGCTGAACTGCCTCAAACCAGTTTCAGCCGGTTCTGGTCACCCTACGTAGAAAGCTATGGCAACCCTCGCTGAGTTGCCAACAAATCCTGAAAACCAGAGTGGTTCAGTTGTTTTCTTCTCTGGTGTGCAGATAATTTTGGTCTGGTTTCTCTCCCCCCATCAGCCCACCCCCTGCAATTTCAATCACAGACCCTTACACTGAGAGAGACAGAGAGAGACAGAGATAGAGAGACAGAAACATTTGACATTTTAGCTTTTTCCCTTTGCCGTCCACAACTTACCTCCCAAAACCTGGCTGAAAAGCTGTGTATGTCTTGAAGCTAACAAAGAGAGACCGCAGTTGTTGGTTGTTTTTTTTTTTTAATGCTCACAGGATCTCCTTTGCTGCATGAAGGATACTCGGCCACAAGAGCAAGCAAACCCCCCCACTTCCACTTCTGTTCCCCAAGAGAGGGAGATGCTTCTGTTGAGTGACATACTTTCCTATGCGCTCTCAACGTTGGGGCATTTACAAAAGCAGGAGTTCCATGTTCTCAGACCCCACATCTGTAGAACATTTGGAGTGGTTGTAAAATAGTCCTTGCTCTTCACAAAGGGCTTATGGCCAACCTTGTCTATCCACTTCCAAGTCACTAGTAATTTACACATACCGTAGCAACAGTTGTTACAATTACAAGGCCTTCTCTTCACCTATGCAAGACCCCTGGTGTTTTCTATATGTGTTGGAACAGCAGCTTTCAAAATCCCCAGTCCTCATCATTATTCCTTCCTTGTGGAAGGAATTCCTTATCTCTGCATCTTTTAACTTACTCATATTTTCATTCAAAGATCTTCCTTCCTTCCTTCTCATTACCAAAATGGTTTCCAAATCCAGCCTCAACAGCAGTGAGATTCCATAATTTCCATAGACTAAAATCTCCTATTTCCATAATTCAAAACCTCCTCAATAGTAGATTCTAAACTAGAAAACAGAGTCTTATTCTGTTTGCCTCCTCCAAGAAATACGGATTACACATAATCATTCTGGGCAGCTTTCCAGTCATTTACTGGTTGTTATGGGAATTTTGGACCACTGGATATTGAAAAATATAGCTCCCAACTTCTCTCACCATTAATCATACTGATGGGACTGTTGTTTATTGTACTTTAACATCTGAAAAGCCAGAGTTTCCCAATCCCTGACAATCCCTGCCATTCAACACAAGAACAGAAGCCGCCATTTTGATAAAACTGTCTGTCGCCATCCAGTAGTTTCTGTCATCATTACACAAATGTACCCTATAAGAATTTAAGTATAAATTACCATAAACTCTTACCCTTCACTTCTCAGTCATATTATAATGGCAGGACTGATTTGCTGGCTGCCTCTGTAAGAAGGATGCCAATGCAACTACTAGTAGTTGGGTTCAACAGTACATCAATCAAATATACTGCTCAAAAAAATAAAGGGAACACAAGCAGAAGACATCCGAGATCTGAATGAATGAAATAGCCTTATTAAATACTTTGTTCTTTACATACAGTAGTTTATACACTGCTCAAACAAGTAAAGGGAACACAAAACTACTGTATGTAACGAACAAAGTATTTAATAAGGCTATTTCATTCATTCAGATCTCGGATGTCTTCTGCTTGTGTTCCCTTTATTTTTTTGAGCAGTGTATATAGCATTCCACCTCACATGGTGGTCCACCAGATGCATTTAGGAAGCCCATAAATAGGACCTCAAGGGACCCCCTCCTTTCCTATTGTGTGTCACATCTTGTATACCATTCTGATCTGCACACCTCAAGAGAGATATTATGGAACTGAAGACGATACAGAAAAGGACACTCAAGATGATCAGGGGGCTTGAAGACAAGATAGAATGATTGGTGAAGTTTGATTGAGAAAAAAGAAATACAAAAATTATAATTAAGTTTTTAAAAATTATATATGGTAAATAAAGACTAAACTGGGGGAGTTTTCCATCTCCTACAATACTAGAACTAGAGGCCACCCAATGAAGTTAATTAGTAGATTTAAAAGCAATAAAGGAAATATTTATTCATGTAGCATGTAATCAACTTATGAAATAACTACAGCAAGATCTGATGCTGGCCATTATTTTATGTGCTTCAATTGGAGATTAGACATACTTTTAAAGGACAGTTCAGTCAATGTCCTCTGGCTCTGATGAATGGGCATATGACAACTTTTAAGTATTAGAGCACCAACAATGGGAGAGGAGGGCTCCACTAATCTCCTATCTCTTCTTAGATACATTTGATAAACTACTACAGCAAATGGAATGATGGCTAGAGGGGTCTAGGCCTGATCTATGGGTTATTCTCACATTCTTAAATATAATACAGAGATCTGTTTCACACGAAAGCCCAGATTCACCTCATGCTAATCTCCTCCTGATTCTACATTTGGATTCAACCAACTCCTTCACAAGTAGGTTCTGCTACAGAATGGGCATCAACCATGGAAGAACAATTTTGCAATGGCAACGATTCCACCAAACAACTGTGACATCAGACATACAGTTCTCCATTATATTATCTCTACTATTATCACTTTCTCAACAAGGTGCACCTTTTTATGTACCACTGTCCTTCTGTTCCTTTGCAAACACCCCAACTTACAATTATATAGAAATTATTCTGCTGGATAACCATAACCAATGATTGGATATAGATTAGTGGAAGCATCCAGTTTGACAAGCAAAAGGACGTTTCAGCCTCTGTTATCTCCTGTTACATGATGGCAAAGACCATTGTTGTAAAAACTGGGAGATCATTGACGATCAGAACAGATAAAGTTTCCTGAACTTGTGTCCTCCATGGGAACTGAAATTGGAGGACATTAGCTTGAAGCCATCAGTTTAAGAAGGGCTGGAGAGCATACTGAAAAGCTTGATGGACTGGAATAATGCAATTATTTGAATATTTGCAAATATTCAACTGCTGCTTGCAGAGCAACTCGTCCATGTTTGTGGTAGTAATGAATGGAAAAAACACCGGAGTTATGTCAAATAGGTGGCTCCCACATTGTTACATCCCTATTACAGCTATCAGTATGGAAAACAATCTTGTCATTGGCACCTGTATTCACCATCTCTGCATCATGCAGCCATAACCACTTAGAAATGAGATTCTGGCAGCACCCACTTACTACATTGTTATCTCATATTCCTAACCAAGGGCTCATGTCTACAGAGACAGTTTCCCTTCAATAACTCAAACAGGCAGTGACAAATAAGGATTGGCTCAAACTCTTCTACCTAAGTGGATTTCAATCTCAATCACAACGTGTCAAGAGTGAGACTCTATCCACCCAAAAATGTTAATTTCAGAATTCAGATGATTCAAAGCCACACGTCTAGAATCTTAATACTTCTGTTTCCAGTCCTGTGGTTAACAATATTTGGAAATAAAAAGTTGATCAAGTAGCTAAAATGGGGCAGAAAAGCATCTCTATATAGGCAGATACAAGTACCAACCATGTATGTCACCAAGCAACTAATAAATGGGCCAAGACCACCCAATTCCCTAAGTACCCAGATCACCGTATCTCTTTGTTCATGCTGTCATGGGAGAGGGGGGGAAGATAATATGACTCCCCAACCTGACACCATTAGTCTTGTGAATATAATAGAAATGTTCAGTGGGGCCTATAACAATGTAGAGAGATGTGACCTCTTCCATGTGGTCTTCCATATTTGATTTTGGGCCTACCTCCCTTAGCTCCAAAATGTATATAATGCTTTAAATAAAAAAATAATTAAAAGCTTATTTGGTTGACACACTATTCCTGTTTTACAAGGCAGATGGCCAGGAACTGCAGCCAGAAATAATGGAAGTTAAGGTGTCGCTATCTAGATTTAAATATAGGGGAAAACTTCTTTAATGATCATATCTGTGGTCGACCTATCTAGAGTATGTGGATTCTCCATTTTTTGGGGAAATGTTTAAGAATCATCTGGACAGGCTGCTCTCATAACCCTTCGCTTTCCCTGCATGTTGAGGGAAAAAAAGCCTTTAACATCTGCAGCCCCCTCCAACTCCACATGGCCTGAGCCTCTCTTCCCACCTTCATGTCTTCCCAAGAAGGCTGAGAAGGGCCGGCAAAATTTAAAAAAAAAAAAAAAAGCTACCCAGCGTTACCTGAGAGAAATCCGCAGTGAATTTACTGGAGCCTCCAGCAAATGGGCCCAGGCTTGGCGGATGTTCTTGGGGGGAGCAAGGCAGGATGAGGGCCTGAACAAATCCCCCCATGGATACCCAGCAATGCCTTAAGCTCCCGGTGGCTCCTGCTGGGCTTTGCAGAAACAGACAAAAAAACCAAAAGGCTGCTTTGCGGGGAAGAAGGGAAGCGGGGCTGTCCCGGTTTGCAGAGAAAGAGCGCCTTCTCTGCCAAGCGCCGCCGACCGAGGCCTTGCTCAGTCAAGCCATTTCTGCGGCCCGCGAAACCAGCTCTTTATACGGCTTCCAGGCGGGCGCGTTCAAAAATAAATAAATAAATAAATAAAAATGAAACCCCTTCAAGCCAAACGCTCCAGAGAGCCCAGTCCTCCGCCCGCAGCCGCCTCTGTGGAAAAACTGGCACTGCCGCCTCTCCGCCCGCGCCTCCGGCCTAAATCTTCGGTGCCTTCCAACCGGGCTGCTTTTTTTTTTCCCTCCTCCGGCCGGCGAGAGCACCAACGGGCCTGGCTTGGCCTTTTTTTTTTTTTTTCCACGCTGCTTCCCGGTCCTTTTTTTGTTTTTTCCCCTTCCCCTGTGGAGGCCGCTGGCGCTTCGAGAGCCTCTAAAGCTGGCGGGCCCGGAGCGGAGCGAGTGGCGACCGCGGCGGCGGCGGCGGCGGCTCCTCCTCGTTGTTCTTTTGCGGGGCTCGGCGGTGAGCCATAGCCGGGAAGGGAATCTGGCTGGAGAAGAAGATGTGTGCCCCCCCACTCCACACCCCAAACAACACTACCCAGCCCTGTGTGTAAGGCTCTGCAGCAGCCAGGCCCCGGCAAGGGTGGACGGAGGCGAGGAGAAAGAAAGAGACGAGAGATGGGCATGGGTATCTCTTGCAAAGAGAAGCCCCGAAGAGATCCTGATGGTTTCCCCGCTTCCCCAACCCTTCGCATGCAACCTCTTTCCATCACCCCCATGCAAACAGACCTGCTGCTGCTGGTAGCTTTTGGGCAAGAGGCCAGGGTGCTGCCACGCGGGGAGGGGCCGATCCTGCCAGAGTGCTTTTTTTCAGACAGACATGTTTAAAGGGTTTTCCTCCACCCCGCCAAAGGCGCCTTTGCAGCCAGAGGCCTGGCTTTTTTTCTTTTTTTTTTTTGAGAGGGAAAAAAAAAAAGATGGTTGCACATAAAGGCAGGCAAGGCAGGCAGGCAGACGCAGGGAGAAGCGAGCCTTTTTGCAAGGACGAGGAGGGAGGGAGTTGTGGGGGGGGAAAGGAAAGGTGGGGGCGGTGGGGGCTGCCTTTCTGGCTTGGGAAGAAGAGGAATGGATGGGCTTGGGGGGTGACGGGGTGGGGGTGGGGGTGAAGCGCTCTCCCCTGTGGATTCAATTTAAAACTTGCCACTGGAGTGTGAAGAAGAAATGGTGGAGGAGGAGGAGGAAGAAGAAGGGAAAGGAGGGGGGGGGGGAAGAGAAGGGAAAGACAACCCTCCCCTCCCCGCTCCAAAACGACCATTATTAGTGTTCTTCTGAAGCTTCCCCTTCCTTCCCCTCCCCGTCACTTGATAAATCAGGGATTCCCTCTTGTGGAGAAGGCAGAGAAAAAGAGGTTGTTGTTTTTTTTAAAAGGCATTCAACATCCACCCCCCCCCCACACCCCTTCTTCAATCTCCGGCATGTTTTAATTACCGGTGAGGAAGAAAGGAGCAGCTTGGGGTGGTGGGGGGTGGGGAAGAGATCTGCAGTCATTCCTCACTGCAGGGGTGGAAGGGAAAAGCTGATCCTTTCTTTTTTGGTGGTTGTTCCCCATAATTACAATATATCATTTCCAAACCAAGCCCTGAGCTATGCTTTTTAAAAAATTATTACTATTTTTTTTTTTTTTAAAAAAATTGATTTATCTGCCACCCTTCTCCGGAGACTCAGGGTGGCTTACAATGCGTTAAGCAATAGCCTTCATACTTTTGTATATTTATACAAAGTCAGCTTATTGCCCCCATAAACTGGGTCCTATTTGCAAAGAATAGCACTCAGGTCTGTGTCCAGTGCCATTATTGGAAATAAAGTTGGGCCCCAAAATCTGGGAACTACAAAGGAAGAGGGTAGCAGCCGCATCGGTCACCAGGTCCTTAAGGGCCCTTTCATTTATCATCACTTGTGTTTTTGTGGATCACAGCCTATATATATAGCCTATATAATATATATATTAAGGACCTGGTGACCGATGTGGCTGCTACCCTCTTCCTTTGTAGCCCCCAGATTTTGGGGCCCAACTTTATTTCCAATAATGGCTTTGGACACAGACCTGAGTGCTATTCTTTGCAAATAGTAATAATTTTAAAAAAAAAGCATAGTTCGGGGCTTGGTTTGGAAATGAGTCCATCAGATTCAGAAAGAGAAAAAAAAGGGAGGGAGGAAACGGAAGGACAGGACAGGACAGGGAAGGAAGGAAGGAAAGGTGCGTCAAGAATTTTGGTTATTAGTTTAAGGATAGATGGGTTAATTTAGCTTATGGTTGTTATTGAAAAACCCTGTATTTTGCTCTGGGAAGTCTGGGGGGGAGGGGGGAGGGAGGAAGGGGGGGGGGAAACTTGGGGGAAAAAAAATTTTTGTAAAACTTTTCAATTAAAAAAAAATTTTGGTTATTAGGACCCAAACAATTCTTTTGATGGAGGGAGGGAGAAGGAAGGAAGGAATGGTGTGTCAAGAATTTTTGGAATTAGGACCCCAAAATTTTTTTTTGATGGATGGGAGGGAGGGAGGGAGGAAAGGAAGGAAGGATTCTGCTTCATGACGTGAACTGAAGGTGCAGCCTGTGTCAATTGGTTCCATTTTGAAACTCCTTTTACATCTTCTGCTTCCTTATAATTTATTCTGGGATCTGCACTGTGGAACTAGAGCAAGAGTTTGACCTTTTATGAAATATTTCTAAGATATTTGAAGGGTGCTATTATATCTCCTTTCCTTTATCCTTTCTCGAAGCAAAACAGGCCGCCTCTTTCCGTTTCTCTTCACAGGTTTTAATAGCTAGTCCTTTGGTCATCCTTGCCGACTTTCTCTGAGGTTGTGTGCATTTGTCTGCATCCTTGACAAAAAATGGTCCCCAGAACTGGGCCCAGGAGTTCAAGTGGAAACAGAGTGAGGTAATTTGGAAATTACATTTCTGTGGATGTAACACCCTGTTTTTAAATTCCATGTGTGCCTACTGGTCCAAAGGTTGGAAAGCTTGTTTAACCTGGCCAAAAGCTCTGTTTTATTGCAGCCAACACTTTGAAAACTCTCCTGGTTACAGTGTTTCCTTTCCATAAGAAAACAAAATATTACAGTGGAGGTAACATTTGTGAGATCAAACTGTAGGAAGTTAGCACCCACCCCTCTCCTAGGAAAATGAAATATTTTAGGAAATAGTCAAAAGGCAGAATATTATATTTCCCTGGATGAGAAATGGAGAAATATGTTTTTAGGCAGGAAACAGACTCACTCTTAATAACCCCCACCATCCTCAATAGCCCACAGCAGATGTCCACACTTAAGAGATAAAGTGATAGCTACGTCTATTCATAGGCAAATGCCCTCACCCAATATCCAACAAAGGTTGGATTAGCCCTCTACCCATCTAGCAACAGAACTCACCACATGGCACCTGGAAAGATTACATCATCCCCCAGCAAGGCTCAGCCAAGCTTGGGACTCAGGACAGCCTACAGAGTTGCCCCTGCATGGCCCCAAGGGAATCTGACAACCAATCAGAATACAAGCTCCAATTCAAAAGCCCAGAGAGGGCATAACATCAAGGGACTCTCAGCATCTCTGCCCCTTTTTCTTCTCCACCCAACATCATCAAGGCATGTGATCCTGTCCACCATTAAAAACACCATCTTTCCAAACAGTCTCCATGTTTCCAGTGTCTTTTTCCCCACTTGGAACTGAACCCAGATGGACATTTCTTCCAACAAAACTAAGTCACATTGTTTAAGTGAATTTGGAAATGTGTTTATTTCTCCCCCACAAGGAGGTGGGAGGTTATGGAATAAGAGAGGCAGACAGATACTGGGCCAGATAAATCAGACTGCGGTGATATGAGTGAGATTTCCTCTTTAAGGGTGTTTGTAATCAACCGCACACTTTCTCTTTATCCTTGCCTTGCCTCAATGTTATCGCAATTGATGCAATAGCGTTGCTAGTATTAAAATCCCTTCATGGTAAATCTGTCTTAGTTTTGGCAAAGTTCTTAAATAAAAGGAGAAGATGCTTTAAATTATGTTCATTACCCATTTACACAGATTTTTTAAAAAAAAGATTGATTTCATGGAGGCAAGAAATGCACTGTACAGGTAGTCCTCAATTTATAACAGTTCATTTAGTGACAGTTTGAACTTACAACGACACTACAAAAAAGTGACTTATGACCATTTTTCCACACTTTGTACACTTTAATGTACAAGTCTGATAATTAAATCAATAAATGATCTTAATTTTTAATTCCATAATGCAAGTGTAAGAAGAAATATCTTTCTGGGTTTAGCTCCAAGTGGGGGAAAAGACACTGGAAACATGGAGACTGCTTGGAAAGATGGTTTAATAGTGGACAGGATCACATGGTTTGAGTTCCTGAACAGAAAAAGGGCCGAGATGCAGTGAGTCCCCAGGTTTTATGCTTTCTCTGGCTTTGAACTTTCTGGGGCCCCGAAAGAGTACCCTGATTGGTTGTCAGACTCCCAGGGGGTGGGGGTCTTAGCTAGCCTTGCTGGCTGATGTAATCTTCTCAGGTGCCATGTGGTGAGTTTCTGTCCTAGATGGGTCCCATTGTGTTAGTTTCTGTTGCCATTGTGTTGCAGATGGGTCCTATTGTCAAAGATTGAGTTTCTGCCTCTGGCCCATTAACAAAGGGAGGGGGAGGCAGGAAGGTGGGAGTTGCTTTGTCTTTAAAACATGTTTCTCCATTTCTCCACCAGGGAAACATAATATTCTGCCTTTTTAATATTTCCTAAAATATTTCATTCTTCCAGGAAAGGGGTGGGTGCTAACTTCCTACACAAGCATACTTGCAATGATTTCTGATAAAAGTTAAAAGTCATGATAGATTCAGACAACTGTTCTAGAAGTATATGCATGGTTTATCTTCATAAAAACTTTATGAGATTTATATATGTGGCTAAATTACCCAATGCAAAGACACTAACATTGGAGAGGGATCACATTGGAGGGAATCCAATGCTTTGTAAACTACTATATATGTTAAATTCTGGAAAATATGTGGTCTACTCTGAAACTGTTGATCATGTCAAAATCTGACATGATCGCCAGAATGAAAGTAGGATTCAGAAGAATAAGGTCTGCCCTCCCGATACAGATAGTCCTCGACTTATGACCACAATGGAGCACAATATTTCTGTTGCTAATTAAGACATTTGTTAAGTGAATTTTACCCTATTTTGTGACCTTTCTTGCCACAGTTGTTAAGTGAACCATGGCGCTTGTCAATGTTAATTAATTACATGGCTGTTAAGTGAATCTGGCTTGCCGATGACTTTGCTTGCCAGAAGGTTACAAAAGGTGATCAGATGACCCCAGGACACTGCAACCGTCATAAGTATGAGTCAGTTGCCAAGCATCTGAATTTTGATCACATGACCATGGTGCATGCTGCAATGGTTGTAAGTGTAGAAAATGGTCAATTAACTACCGTAACAGTTAATGTTACTAGGATCTAAGACTGGGCAACAATGAGATAGAATGACACATTCAGTCCCAAGATGTTGTAGTTGGTACTAAAGATTTATGGGGATTCAGTTTCAGAACAGAGCAAGTTTAAGCCCAAGTGGGAAAATGAATATTTATATTTTATTTATATTCATTTTCCCTACTTTGAAATTTGGGATTTGGCCAAAACTGAGACATACTCCTAACTTTCAGTTATCTGTACATATTGGCTCTAGACAACTGGCAGATTAACTAGTAACTTATTAAATTAATATTTGGTAAAAACTTACCTTTATTCACTGTACCTGTCTTACAGTTATGTATATGACTTTAGTTTCACCTACTCACATAGACGTTCTCATATATTTGGTGAGATGAGAAGGGAAACACAAAGATGATATTTGGACAAGTAGATTCTCTGAATTCTGAAGCCCTGATCTTGGAAAACTCCTATTAAAGTTATGAATATTTATCTATTTGACTTATAACAAAATATTATAAATGTAAATTTGCCCATCTCTGCAAATTTACAGACCACAATGTTCCTAAGCTATGATCAGTTCTTATTGTTAAGATGTGGGCCACTGGTTTCTTACCTTCCAGTGGAATCAGTCAGTGGGTTGCATTAGGATTATTATCCTCTAAATTAGGATTATTTTATCCTCTAAATATTTTATGAGATTGGCTAAGCCAAGAGAGGACAATTTCTCAGAAGTCACCAAGTGCCCACTTCTGGATTTGTAAGAATTTCTGAGCTAGGCACCCTTAGTGGATCACCTAATTCTTTCCTTTTTTCCTTTATTGATTTTGCATAATATTAGCACCATCTATGGATCCAAAGACCCCAAATGTCTGACACCACCCAACTGTCATCAATGACGTTCAATTTTTTTTAGTGAGGTTTGATCTTTCTCCAACCTGCAACTTGGTATGCCCCATTTTAAAGTGATACCATGGAGAAATAGCACTTGGACTTATATACCGCTCCATAGTGCTTTACAGCCTTCTCTAAGCAGTAAACAGAGTCACCCTATTGCCCCCAACAATCTGGGTCCTCATTTTACCCACCTCAGAAGGATGGAAGGCTGAGTCAACCTTGAGCCTGGTGAGATTTGAATGCCAAATTGCAGGCAGCCGGCATTCAGCAGAAGTAGCCTGCAGTACTGCACTCTAACCACTGCACCATCCTGGCTCATAAGATAAGAGAGAGCATAGCCTCCAGCAGCATAACGGCCAGAGCCGGTCAGATTCGAATTCTTGGCAGTGAGTAATGATTTAGCTTGCAATACTGCATTCTAACCACTGCGCCACCTCTATAGGTCCATCTAAGTAAAACAGATTTGTTATATACTTATAAAAAAACCCAAAAATTGCCTGCCCATAATCTCTGCAATTATTGTTTTTTAGTTTTTTTAGTTTTTAGTTTTTTTAATTTGGAATTTGTTTTTTAGATTTATATCCACTCTTTTTTCAAGGAGTTCAAGATGATTACATCTCCATTTCATCCCCTGAATACAACCCTGTGTTTTATGTTGATCTGAGAGAGTGGAAGTAGCCCAAAGCTAGCTGAAGTTCAACTTAAACCTGGGTGTCCTCAGTCACAGTCCAACACCTTAACAACTGACTTTCACTTTGTTGGAAGAAACATCCTTCTAGGTTCTACTCCAAGTGGGGAAAACAGACACTGGAAACATGGAGACTGCTTGGAAAGATGGTTTAATGGTGGACAGGATCACATGGCTTGAGTTCCTGAACAGAAAAAGGGCAGTAAATCCTCGGGTTTTTATGCTCTCTCTGGCTCTGCATTTCTTGGGGCCCCGAAAGAGTATCCTGATTGGTTGTCAGACTCCCAGGGGGTGGAGGCCTTGCTGGCTGATGGTCACATGTGCTTCCCAGGTCACATGTGGTGAGTTTCTGCTGCTATGGTGTAGAGGGCTAATCCCATCTTTGGCAATTCCTACTATGGCTCTGCCTGAAGGAGGCAGATCTTTGTTATGTAGAATAGACTGGCCCAGGCCTTAATGGCCCATTGACAAAGGGTGGGGGGCAGGAAGGTGGGAGCTGCTTTGTCTGTAAAATATGCTTCTCATATTTCTCATCCAGGGAAATATAATATTCTGCCTTTTTCATATTTCCTAAAATATTTCACTCTTCCAGGAAAGGGGTGAGTGCTAACTTCCTACAACTTGTTTTCAAATGTATTTAGCTGTGGGCTGTGAGCTTAAATCTCCCCCATGAGGAAAAAACCCCAACTTGGTGGGGGGAGAGTATGAAAGAATTGCCATAAACCACAGATCTTCATTTACAGATATCGGAAGGTATCAGGAGATAGTCCTCTGTTGAAAGGCCACTCATCTAAATCCAAGATGGGAGTTCCATAGCCTTGAAGCTGCTCATCACCATTTAGGATTTAAGCATCAGCATAGAGCAGATGGTGTCTAGTCATAATCTTCCCACTATAATAAGGTTAATTACAGTAATTATTTATTCTTAGCATTTCTGCCTATTTTTGCATCTGTGAACATATGCAGATTTTGTGCAAATTTGGGCTCTTTCTTTATGGGCAAGAATGGCAGTTTGGTTTCTTCAACCCAGTGGAGGGATGTAGAAACTATTGCTCAATGGAATAGACAAAGCAAGACAAAGCTGGTATTCAGATAAGATATTTCAGACTAGGGCTGTGTTGGCCATGAAAGCATTAATTTTCCTCCCTTTGTACCATTCGATTTTTTTTCTCTTTTCATTTCAGAAGAAAAACACAATTGTTTTTGTTCCTGAGTCATATTTTAATATTCCGTGATTCAGACTCGGTGGATATGAAACACACACACACAATGAACAGCTGGTCTAGTCCAGCTTCTCTGCTTAGGAAATCTGTCAAAAATGTTTTTCTTCACCTTTTCCTTTGTACTGCTAGATCGGTGGCTTTACTCTCAATATATATTAAACATATGCTGCTCATCACGGCATTATATGTTGAGCTCGGGTCTGATAAGATAGTGACCCATACAGATTATCAAGAAAGTCAATGCTTGCCTTTCCCAAGTTGTCCTGTCATCAGTTATTCAGGACCTGTATGCTCACCTGCTTGGTGACTTCAAGGAACATTAGTGACATTTAGCTTCATACCCCACGTTGTTGTATATCTTTGTTTTAATAACCTGGCTACTCTCTTGAGAATTGACTCTCTTAAGTATAGAGTGTCACAATGCTAAGTAATGGGTACTGACATATGTCCATAATTGTCTCTATTGCATTCTGGATCATATCAATCTTCCAAGTGCAGCTTCAAGGGCAGCCCCATTTAGAATGCATTACAATAGTTGAGCCAGATGACTAGGCATGAGTGACTACCTGAAGGATCTTCCTGAATAGGTGAAGTTGTGCAAAAGCCTTCATGACCACAGCTACTACCTATTCCAAGTGTGAATCCATAAAGACCCTCAAATTGTGAACCACCTTTGAAGGGGGAAGTGCAACCCTATCAAAATGTCTATGGAGATTTTCAAACATCCATCCCATCCTCAGTGTCAATAGAGATCTCAGTTATCCAAAACAAAGACAAGAAGCAATGGATGGAAACTAATCAAGGAGAGAAGCAACCTAGAACTAAGAAGAACAACATGCCCCCAGAAGTTGTGAATACTCCAACACTGGAAGTTTTTAAGAAGAGATTGCACAACCATTTGTCTGAAATGGTATAGGTTTCCTGCCTGAGCAGGGGATTGGACTAGAAGACTCCCAAGTTCTCTTCCAACTCCTGTTCTGTTCTGTTCTGTTCTACTCTACTCTTACTCTTTCTCTTACTTTATTCTACTCTACTCACAGTTCAGTTGCCTTTTGGAAAAAAAGGCACTTGGAACAACCCTATCGAAAGGCAAAGGGAATATTTCTATAAGTAGGTGGCCCTAAAACTACCAGCCACTCAGTTGTGATAAGACTGATTTGGGGACAGTTCCTCCCCATCAAGGTCCAGGCAGGTATTGGAACATCTCTTCGACAGTCTCAGTTAGATGCCCTGGGGTCAAAAAAGATAGCTAAACTACAAATCCCAAGTAGATATGAAATTCAAATAGATGTCGAATACAGGGGTGAGGTAGTGTAGCCACTCTGCAAAGAAGAGGCCTGCAGGGATCAGGTTGTACTCAGCCAACACTCTGAAAGAAGGAAGAAAACCATCACAGAATTCTAACCACTACAGAGAAGTTGAAGAGGATACCTTTGTTCAAAGACCAAGGAGCACAAGGATGGATGTCCCAACTCCATCTCAGTCAACTTGGCTCTGCCACAATTCATCATTAGAATTATATTGGACCAAAAGGGCATTTTGGATATCCTAGAGAAAAAAACCATTTCAATAACCTACAGAGAATCAAAGGAAGGTATTTGTTCAGCAGGCCTGAGACCACGGGTGGGCTGCTGGGGGTTTGCAGGGGTTCGGGAGAACCTCTAGCTAAGATTCTGTGCAGTTCAGAGAACCTCCAAATCCCACTCCTGGCTGGCCCCGCCCCTCCCAGGAGTCCCCACATGGACTGTTTTGGATGCAGGTAAGTGCAGGATGCGTGCGGAGACTCGGGGAGGGCAAAAAACGGGCCTACCAGAAGTTCGTGAAGGCCGGAAACGGGCCCAAGAGGGCCTCTGGAGCCTGGGGAAGGCAAAAACACCTCCCGGCCGTGTTGCAGGAGGCCGACTAGGCCACGCCCACCATGGCCACGCCCACCCAGCAACCGGGCAGAGAACCCATTGCTAAAAGTTTTGAAGCCTACCCCTGCCTGAGACCTTCTTCTTTTGAATCTGCAACAGCAAAATGTTTGTATTATGTGCTATAATACATTATGAGGTTGAAGATCTGCAAGAGTGGCCAAACGAGAACATAAACCAAATGGTAGGCATATGGTAGGTTATTACAGGCTTTAACAAAAAAGAAAAGAAAAGAAAAAAAAGCCATCTGTGATATCAGCTGTGAATAGCAACACCAAGAAGACATGGGAAGATACACCCAAGTGATGAATAATATGAGACCAAAGGTGGCATAATAATTTTTTTTAAAATGTATTTTATTGTTAAAATAATGAAATACAAGGGAGAGAAATATGTATTAAATTGTGGCAGAAGAATTAAAAAAAGAAACAAATTCTGAGCATAAACGTGGAAAAACTTCCCAGTAACACATTTGCTAATCACAACATAGATATTAAAAATATTAATACTTTACACTGAAAGTCATCACGACTGTCTATCTTTGGCCACATCTTTCCTAAAACCATATTCCAAATATCTAAATTTGTCTAGCTATGAAATATGTGCTATAATATAAAAAGAAATCATTCCTGCTTAATATATACTGTCCGTGTGGCTGTTGCTTCCCATTTTGGTCTAAAATTGTGCAATCTGGTATTATCAGCAACTTTACACTTTCCCAGTGTAGGGCCAAAATTTGTCTTTGCAGCTGGCAGTATATGTCTTAGTAAATTGTGATTGTTTTTAATCTATTTTTTATCTGGAATAATAGTGAGTAAAAAATAGCAATAGCACTTAGATATATACCATTTCATAGTGCTTTACAGCCCTCTCTAAGAGGTTTATGGCAGTGGTGGGTTTCAAACAATTTTACTACTGGTTCTCGGTGTGGCTTGTTGGGCATGGCATGGCTTGGTGGGTGTGGCTTGGTGGGCATGGCAGGGGAAGGATACTCTAAAATCTCCATTCCTTCCCCACTCCACTTTATTTTATTTTTCAGATTTCTATACCGCCCTTCTCCTTTCGGACTCAGGGCAGTGACCAGCCAAAGTAAAACACTTTATACACAAAAGTTAAAATAGATTTTAAATAATTAAATAATTTGGCCCATAATTTAAAACATTTCAATTTAAAACCAATTTCAAATTTTAAAAACCCATCATAAAATCAGGACAGCCCGGCTAACTGAAAGAAGTAGGTTTTAAGGGCCCGACGAAAAGTCTGGAGGTCTGGGATCACTCGTATCTCTGGGTTACTGCAAAATCCCTATTTCCTCCCAATCAGCTGGAACTTGGGAGGCAGAGAATAGATGGGGACAGGGCCAGTCAGAGGTGGTAATTACGGGTTCTCTGAACTACTCAAAATTTCTGCTACCGGTTCTCCAGAACTGGTTAGAACCTGCTGAAACCCACTTCTGATATACAGAGTCAGCCTATTGGCCCCAACAATCTGGATCCTTATTTTACCAGCCTTGGAAGGATGGAAGGCTGAGTCAACCTTGAGCCAGTGAGAATCAAACTGCAGAATTAGCCTGCAATACTCCATTGTAACCATTATGCCACTGTGGCTCCAAAAAAAAAAAGAGAGAGAGAGAGAGAGAGCAATTCAAATTTTATTTTTAGGATTTTCTGAATATTTTTATGCATTTCTTTCTAGTGCTTTTGAGTCTTTTAACATATATTAAAATAGTCTTTTTTGTTATAGAATTTCTAATGTTCATTGTCATATAATTGGTCTATCTCGGTAATTATTGACAGTGTTATATATCTAAAACCAAATTTTCCTTAAGTTATAATTTGGAGTAAATGTTACCAATGTTATTCCGTAGCTCTTCACATTGTTGTACTGTGATTATTTCTTTTAAGTTTTGCACCTACTTCATCATACTTTTTTTTTGTTCCATCCCTGTGTTATATTTTAATAAAGATGTGGCATAGTGATTAAAGCATCAGACCAGGACCAAGGAGACCAGGGAACAGGTAGCCAAAATCACTGGTGACTCTGGGCCAATATTTTCTCT